TTGCTTTTTTTTTTGTCAAGCAGCCGCGAAAGTTGAGTCAAAATTTACTGTCGCGAACGGCGTTTTCGGGAGTGTTTGAAAAATTCCATTTTTCTCCATAATAAAGCGTTATTTGATCAAACCAACTATACAGCGATTCTTAGGATACATTACCCTAACTAACTTGAAAGTATGAGCGAAATCGATTTTTCGAAGTTTGCCACGGATTTTGAATTTTGCTTGATCGTTACAGACAGTCACTCTTGAATAACAGTTAGACAGTGCTGCAATAAGTTTAAGGTATTTTTGCTGGCAAAGGCTTTGCTTCACACTGTGAAGAGGTTGGGATTTTGGATTTGCTTAGGATCTGGGCTACATAGCAGATTATTCTGCTGGGCTACTAGATTTATAGACTTACCAGCCTGTTACCTAGTATCTGAAAAAGATAGTGTCAAGCACTAAGACTGGTGGGGAAAGCCTTTAGAATATTGAAAAAAACACACACAAATCAGCCCAACCCATGTGGCTGCCAGATTCAAACCCTTACATGAAAGGCAAATGTTTTACCACCACCACCCTCACTGCCAATGAATTAACAAATGTAATATTGTTTTGATCAGATTTGGTGGTCCCCCGATGCGTATGGAGCCACCCAGAGGACCTATGATGAGACCAGGACAACCTGGTCGCCCTGGATTTCCAGGTCATATGATGCACCAAGGACATCCAGGATATCCAGGACATCCAGGAATGCAGGGTCCAAGGTTTGACCATCCTGGGTTACCTCCAAGAATGATGCATCCACCGGAAGATCCTCYACGTCATGGTCCAGCACCCTTTCCTGCTGGTGGTTCAATGTCTGGTCCTTCTGGACCTCCTATGCAAATGAGTAAGTTATCTGCATTTATTGTTATGCAACTCAGTAGTTGCAAGTTGCTTATTTGAGCTTGGTTTTTACTGTTGTCAATTATGTCAATCATACCATTTAATTGCTTGCTTGCTTGCTTGCTTGCTTGCTTGCTTGCTTGCTTGCTTGCTTGCTCGTTTTGTTGTTTTTTTTTTAAATGCTAAAATTTATTTGATATGGTTACTTAACCATCACAGAGCCATTGCTACTTAACTTAAGGAGCCGTTGCACTAACAAAAAATATTTTAATAAACTTTTTTCAGAGCCACCACAAGGAAAGAACATACACATAAACCCACACTTCAAACCAGGACGAGGAATGCCTGAAGGTTAGATATATTATTCCTTTAATAGTTGCCCTGGTCACAGCACTACATTATAAAGAATTCTTGGTTTTCATGTGACGTCATCAAAAAACTAAAATCCAAAGTATTCACTACACGAAACTGTTTGTTGAATATTTTGTCTATAGTGTTATAAGAAAAGTTTTAACAAAATAATTTCTTATTACCGATGTTTGGTTTTAGTTTTATTGCGAAATTTATTTCGACTAAATCATGGGCATAATCATTTGCTTGTATCTTCGTATCTAAAACTTCTTTTAGCTAGAATTTTGGAGATATGTTTTCTGATACTCTTTCGGCCTGTGGAAGTTTTGTTTCATATAAATCCTAGCAAAATATTTGATGACGTAGGTGAAAACCAAGGAAATTGGCCAGTCAACAGAAATGTCCAGCCAAAGTTGGCACTTGTCCAGGTAAATGCCTCTTAGACTGGTCCTCTTGAATGGTCACATTGGTGTACTAAAGATCTTCGGCCCTTAGGCATAAATGATTTGTAATATGCTTCATTTAAGAGCAGGTGTGGCTAAGTTGATAAATTAGTTGGCAGTGAAGGAAGAAGTTGATAGGGCAATCCCCTGTGATCTTGTCTCTATTCTCTGTAGTTTAGTCATTAAATACTTTGAAGCTCACTGAGGGACTAAGCATGCACTAGACCATTAGATGTTGATCTAAAAACTTCTTTGTAATGTTTATGATTCTAGGTCCCCCTGGAGGACGTCCAGGCCCTCCAATGCATTCAGGGCCTGATGGGCCTGGGCCCAGAATGATGCATCTTCATCCTAACCAGGGTCCAGAACAATTACAACCTGGTCCTCCCATGCACGGGCCACAGCACATGGGTGAATCACCTGGGCCCAATATGAGGGGTGGTCCTCAAAGAATGGAGCCAATGAGACCTATGGATTCTGAACCGAGACCAATGCATGATGTTGGCCCCCCTGGACCAAGAGACCAACGTGGTCCACATGATGGACCTCCAAGAATGGACCATGGTCCAAGAATCCCACAAGGGCCTCAATTCCGAGGACAGCTTCCTGGTGGACCAAACATGGCTCCACCTCATCATGGTGGCCCTCAAGGCATGCAGCAAGGGCCCAGAGGTGGTGGTCTTCCTCCAGGTGGGAGGACACTAAGCCCACCACGCCCTCAGGCACACCAAGTTATGCCAGGAATGCATCCCCAACAAAGTGTTGGCAACCTCCCACCACATATGCAGCCGCATGGCCAACAAGGAATGCCGCCTCAGAGAGAGCCACAAGTACCATACAGTGAAGCTGACCGTATTGTTGTGGGAAACAGGGTTATTGTTCCTAATGTTGATCAACCCAATCCAATGCTTGGGCACATGCCGGCAGGATTTGGTGGGCAACCTAATGCAGCTCCAGGTGCTGCAGTTGCAGCAGCAGCAGCAGCAGTAGCTGCAGCATCACGACAGCAATACCCATTCCCACAGCAGTTCCCATTTGATTATTCAATGTATAGTGCAAACTGGCAACAGTTGCTGCAACAGAGGGATGCTTATGCCGCTGCAGCTGCTTATAATATGGAAAGCGAACGAAACAGAGCAGAAACTCCAGTAAGTATTAAAGTGACTCCCATCCAACTTCTTAGCAAAGTGTTTTTCTGTGTTCTGTGTTGGTTTATTCATGAAAAACTAGAGGAAGCCATTTACAGCAATTTTCAGCATTGCATAAAATTACTTAGTAGTTATGAATTGCCAGAAATATTTGTACGTAAGTGCTGCCTGTAGTCAAAAATATTAAAAAGTATTGATTGATTGTTTTTGATTGTCAGCAGCAAAAGACAAATTTCAGCATGGGGCTCGCAGCTACGGGTTTATCTACGGTATTAAAAACTGCTACAGTGTATAACAGCTAGATGTTTTTGTCAAATTTTGCTATATTTTTGACTTACATGGTATCTGTAATGATGATTTCATTGCTTTTTCATAGCGTCACACCAAGAAAAGACGTCACCGTTACACAGATGAAGAAAGTGTTGGAAGTGATCTTAGTAGTTCAAGGTCTTATTCTCGTTCTCCATCAAGATCATACTCCAAGTCGCCTGCAAGGTCCTGGTCAAGGTCAAGGTCTCTGTCTCTTTCTCCTTCAAGGTGGGTAATGTACTGTTATATTTTGACTTTTTGAAGCATTTATACTCCAATTGATGAAAGGTGTGTCCATTATGCTTAGACAGACTGCTCAGACCTGTGTTTGTTGCTTTGTATGTTTTTTACATGAACAAAGAGAGCTGGATTTGAGACCATCGTTTTGGTTTTTCAAAGTGGCTCTTTTTGCTACTAGTGGCCTATCATTAAAAAGAACAATATCACTAGTAAATAAATTTAGAACTCTAGTAGCTGAGATAATCAGAGTGGTATTAGACCATTAGTAGGTTTATGCTCATTAAATGACTGACTGTATATAATATTGTTGACCTCTAGTAAAACCTTACCCATATGGCAACTCATTAAGTAGATTGTTTCTGGATAATTTTCAGTGTCCGATCATCAAGGTCAAGGTCATTTTCCAGGTCACTGTCTGGATCTCCCCAAAGGTACTCTAGACCCTTGAAATCTCGTTATGACCGAAATGACAGGCCCGCCAGAAGTTATGATAGAGGAAGGGCCAGACCGCCACGACACCAGGACCGTCCAAGAGATATACGGCCAAGAGAAAGACCTCCCAGAATGGAAAGAGATAATAGACCCAGAGATCGCAACCTACCACATGACAGAGATTTACGTGATAGGGAAAGGGAAAGAGAACGAGAAAGAGAAAGAGAACAAGAAAGAGAAAAATTAAGGGATCAAAGAAGAGAACGAGAAAGAGAAAGGGATAGAGATAGAGATGCAAAGAGCCATGAAAGAGATAGAGACAGGAACAGAGAAGGTCGAGATAGTGGAAGAGACCAAGATAGGTCTAGAAGAGGTCGTGGGGAGTCAAAGCACTCTGAATCAGGATCTTCAAAGGTGAGTTGATTTTTTATTTCATCTTTATTGTACTTATGTTTGTTTCCAACTTTTAAAACCCTTGCATTTTTGTATTGAAATAATGGTCCTCCTGTTTTGCCTTCTTTTTCTTCATTTCAATTAGACAAAATTCTAAATTCAAATTTATCCTATTAGAATAGCAGGTCTTGCAATCTTTTTTTCGTTTCTTTGATTTTTATTTTAAAAAATTCCTTTTTTGTCAGTAGAGCTCTAGCAATGCCTTGGGCAAAAACTGTATAGAGGCAGACCTCCAATCTATTGAATAACATTACCAATATTTTGTATTGAATAACATTACCAATATTTTGTATTTCACCCTGGCCTGCTCTCAGTCTGACCTCTAGCTCAGCTGGTAGAGCATTGGTAGTACAATTCCGAAGGTTGTGGGTTCAATTCCCAGCRAAGTCGGAAATTAAYTTTTCCGAATTTAATTCCAAGGGCTTTTGCCCAGAATAACCTCGTTCCCAAGCACTATAACTTATCTATATTTCTATATCTTCAATATTTTGTTAATGTTTTAAATTCAGTCTCTAATTTTCAAAGTATTTTTATAATGGTAATTTGCAATGTGTAGTTACTAGAAAAATATCCATACCTCACTCACAGAGGAAATAGGAAATTCTGGAGGACGAGGGCCTGGTCAAGGAAAGAACAAAATTACAGAGTTTGTATGGAAGAAAATTGGGAACTCCTGGGGTAGGGAGGTCCTTTTACAAATTCCCTCAATGGTGTGGGTGTGGAAATTTTCTGGAACGATACAATTTTTGCAGCCCATTTCAGTTTTTCATGTATTTCTCTTTTTTCAATGATTGATTGCATTTTATTTAACAAATAAAACAGCTTTTTCCGTGCTCCGTTCAGTAATAAAGCACACATAAGTGACGTAAGCATGAAAGAGGTGTAAGGAGAAGCACAAGCCGTAGGCGAGTGCTTCTCATACTTCTYGAGTGCTTATGGCTATTTCTAAGCACACAGTTTTCAACCAATCAGTGCACATATACTATCCTAACTATGTAAAAATATCAACTAGTAACAGCTCAACCTTAATCTTGATTGTATAAAGTAATGCTTATCATTAATGTCTTCAGAGGATTGTGGTTGGACCTTCGGAAAGCAAAAGCAAGTCATCCTCTTCTGCAAACCCTGACTCAAAAGCCAGTCGTGTTGTTGTTACCAAGGGATCCAGTGGAGGAAAGCCGACCAATCGTGTGGTCATTGGTTCCTTGCCTGACCTTATCACTCCTAGTAGAGTCAAGGAACTCTTGGCTGGCATCGGACCTATACAGGTTTGTATTCCCAATCAGTGATGGCAGTGGTGATAGTTATGGTAGTGGTGGCGATGGTGGTGGTGATGGTGGTGGCGATGGTGGTGGCGATGGTGGTGGCGATGGCGATGGCGATGGCGTTGGTGATGGTGTGGTGGTGGGGATGGCGATGTTGGTGGTGATGGTGATAATGAAGGCGGTGGTGATAATGGGGATGGTTGTGGTGATAATGAATGTAAATTGGGATGGAAATAATCCCTAATAGCAAACTTGTGTGGTAAAAATGAATGCTGATGAAGAATAGCTTTGGCAAATATTGATGACATTAATATTGAATAGCAGAACTGACAGAAATAATGCTCATAATGCTGTCTGACATTGTTCATGATTGATAATAACATAGATGCTGACAGTGGTTTAAATGATTGTTATTTTAGCAACTTAAAATGTCTACAACCAAACACAAAGCACTGGTAACTTTTGAAAAGAATGAGAATGCATTGGCTTGCCGCCGCAAGTTTCACAGGTATGTTTTGCTTTTGTGTTTTAGATTAATGTTAGGAAACAAAGTTTATGGTTACATTGTGTAGTCTTCACTCTTGATTTCATGTATGCATCTGGAGAACTTTCTATGGTTCTGTACAATCGACATGAGTTTTCTGTCCCATTTGTGGCTCTTCATCTTCCTCTTCCTCTTCCTCTTCCTCTTCCTCTTCTTCTTGCTCACTTCTTATTTAATAAACTTATTCCTAGAACTGTGGTGGATGGCTCACAAGTCACTGTAGATTTTCTTTGAAGCATCAAACAGCATTCTCTCTCCTCTTCTGGAAAAAATCTGGATTCAACACATCTTCTACTCAAGATATGTCCATACATTTAAGTAAAGTAGTTCTCAAAAATGTTTACATCTTAATATGTATTAGTTTCATAATTGCTAATGTGCATCGTGCATGTCTTTCATGTGTGTGTTGTTTATTTTTAGTTTATGTTTTATATAATGTCTTTCTTCTTTTAGTTGATGTGTCTGTGTTTTGTATGACTGTTTGTCATTTTCTTCCAACAAGGCATGGGTCTTAGAAGCTGTTTTTTGCATATTTTTATTATCAAAAAACACCACAAATTTAAGGTGTACTCCATGACCTATGGAGGCCCATTATTGGCCAACATGTCAGCCTTTTAATGAGTAGTGGATAGTTAATTTATCTATTGATATAAAATTATTAATGATTAGTGTTAAATATTAATCATTTAGCAGCTGTTCAACAAGCAAGCATTTCATAGCTAACACTTTGGCTGACACAAAATGGCAGCCATAAAGTAAAATCGCTCTATTCTTTAAATCAATGAGCACTTCATGCAAAAGCCTCAAATCTTTCGCTTTATTCTTAGTACACTGTAGTATCTTAAATACTATAGGCATATAGCTAAACTATACTTGGGATCAAAAAAGTATTTCCAATTTTATGAACGACTGGTTTTCTACATTGAATTTAGTTTTACAAGCACTTCAACATTACATCTTAAGAGAGAGAATTATTAATAAAATTTTAAAAGATTTTTGAAATTTTTCAATGCATTTGCTGCGTATCTAATTCATCTCTCATGACTTTTTTCCCCACCAAAAAAATAACCAGTGAAGGGCCGAGAACTTGAAAAATAGATTTATTTTTCAAAATTTTCTAGCACAAGTTACTTGATTGTTTAATTTTGTCATGATAAAAATATTTAGAAAATGATCCACTTTACCTCAATATTACCTCATTATGATTTTCTGTCTTAGCAATGCATTTACATTTACATCTTAGAGCAATTTTACTTGACCAACATATGAGTGTTAATATAACAGGCAGTAGTGGACTTTGGTATATATTTTGTTGATAAACATCAATTGTTACATGTAAATATTCTCTGATTTTGTTATCATAAAAACTGATGTTGTTTGTTTTACAAGTAAGATTGCTCTATATGTTGATGCAAYTCTAGTAAAATTGAATGGATTGAGTAAAGTAGGTGACCTTTTCTGAACTATGGGGTTYGATTCTTGTGTCCAAGACAGACCAGAATGCCAAATGGAAATTGCCTGTGATACAAACTAAGCTAAATCCTATTCTGAGATAGCAAAGATGGTGCATTGTTTGTACCCAAGCTAGAGCAGAATGTACCTTGTTTGCAAATCTTTTATGATAAAGTTTATGAAATTAAGAAAAGAAGATTCAGAGAAAGAGCCATAATTTCAATGAAAAAAAAAAACATTTAGAAAATTGGGTTGGAGGAGTGAAGGCATCAGTTTCAAGTGATTAGGTGAATAGCTTGCACTGTAGGTATTTCAACATTTCAACATCTTTGCAATGGATTCTCTACAACATTGCCATAAAAAAGGCTATTTTTGAGTGTCACACAGTGGGATGTTTCATGTGATGTTGCAGAAGTAGAAATTACTTTTACTAGTACTTCTGAGACATCACATGTAACATCACACGATGCATGTGTCCACTGGCACCTTAACTTAACTGTACTTCATTTTCATTGATGCATTTTCACAAAGATGAACTTCACAACAAGAGTATGGATCCAATCAGATTTGGAATGACTGAATGTGCCATACCTGTAGGTAATCTTCACTCTGGCTTGTAAAGTCATGCCATATCTGATGATGTTTTTGGTTCAGTATTACAGCCACTGAACTCAAATCTATATGTAAGCCCTTTCATKGTCATTTGATAGGCTTTCCAGGGGGCTGGTTTCCACCCATAAGAACTGCCATTTGAAATAATCTATGGTGAACAATTTGCAAAGTCCTAAGGCAGAATAAGGAACATTGGTTGAATGGTTTGTGGGGACCCTGCTTATAGCATGGTTGACACAGATACAAAAATGTTTCAGCCAATCTTTCTATATCATTCTGTACCTCTTTTTGGTCAATAACCTCTTTGTATCAAGAATTCTAAAACATCTCTCAAAAAAATGTGCACTCTTATATTCGTCAATACYGTTTCATATAAATCAACATAGATTGCCTACATCTGCGGCATTTCCTAGCAATTGTGTATTGAACTTATTAGGCATTACAGTAAACGCTTGCAGCTTTTAGCCAATATAAAACCTCAACTTGTCCATCAGACCAATGTGACCACTGCTTTCATTGCTACATGCTGAAACAAATTATTATCATATAGTAACCAAATTTCAATTCTTTTTTTTGTATTCATTATTTTATTTAACCTATTAGTAGGATTAAACTAAAATTATTAGATCTCCTCCTCATGGTCTATGAGTCAGTAACCCCTTTGACCTTCGGCCTTGTGGGCTATTGACTCGTAGACCATTCAGGTTGCAGGTCTAATGGTTAAATAGACCTTGACCATTAACCTGCAAGTGCATTTAGTCTCAATCAGCAAGTACCAATAGAAAGTTGGTTAGAACTGCAAGGTTCCACACTTACTTGTCTACAATACATCAAAGTGTATTCCATTACATTTATAAGGCTTTGTATCAATAAGTTTCATGCTGTCTTCATGCTATAGTGCTGTATTTAATACCATTCAGACCATGCTTCTGGCATTATTTTGCTGCTGTGCTGTGCAGCCCTGCCTTGTTGGAAATTTGTGGTGTGACTGTTTTTTGTACTGTAACTTTTATTATTTGTACATTGTGTTGATTTTGTGCTGCCAACTAGTTGAATTGTTTTTAGCAGCTAAAAATTTTGAGACAACCTAACTAGAATAGACTATACTACTTGATAATAAGAAACAAGTTTGTATTGCTGCAATGATAATTAAGAAATTACATGCAAGAAAAAAGAAACAACATAGAATGGAACCTTGGAGAATGAGAAACACCTATAAAATGGATGGAAGGATGAAGAATATGAAATGGAATCAATGGAAATGAATGGATAATGGTTAACATCTCATAATACAATGGAAAATATGGTGTGGAAATGTCACTCAATGGATGGATGGATTTCATTATTTTTCAATGGACAGTATCATTCTAAAACCAGGACTTCTAACTTGTAAGCAAGCTGGATCATATGGATCAATGGACATTGAAGTAAGCAACATATGTACTGTAAGTTAATTTTATTGTTTTGAGAGGTTCTTAGAGGTTCTTTTCTATGTTAGAACTAGAAACATATAACCACAGCCGAATGTATTGCTTATTATTACCAGTATCAATATACCAAAACACATAAAAAAAAGTTTCCAAAAACTTGATTATTTGCCATTCTTCTTACTACTAGTTGATCCTGGGTAACTGCATATTATTATTCTATTAATAATAATTATTATAATGGATTGTGTTCTAAAAAATAATATTATTGAGTTGGTCCAAACCATTTTTACAAAAAAGTTATTGTCTGGATTTTGACTATGGTATTTAATAATGACTCGTATCTGTCAATGTGTGGCATCCTCTTTCATTGGAAGTATAACTTCAAAACTAGTAGAGTATATGTAGGCTTTATTGTTTGTTGCTAATCATGAAGCTGATTYTGACTTTATTTGCCAAAGATTATGATTTGGTTTTAACACAGTCATAATTTAGAGACTGCATCATCAATTTTTGTCATTTTATAAGAAGGCTTGTCCAAAGCAAGGTTGTTTTATTTTCTACTCCCAAGGTATTTGAAACCTGTATTTTGTTACGGAGGGCACAGTCAATGAATTCTGATTAGCTGGGTTTTGTCATACTTCAATCAAGGAACATTTATACTTTACACAGTCTTGATTATTAGTATGTAGATTTGATTAAGACTTGTGTCCTCTGTGGTTTGACTCAAAAATACTTGCTAAAAGATAAATTTCTGGGTGCTTATAAAATTGAAAAATTATTAATTAAAGAGCTCTTTTCAAGTTTCTGCCAACCAGACAACTCCAAACACATATAGCATGTTTTCTCATTTTTTGTTGCAAGTTTATCAATTTTAAAGTCTGTGTTAGTTTGATGACAGAAACCCAGTTCAGTTCAAGTTGTGAAGGTAGGCAAAACATGAAAAGTGGTCTCATCTCTTTCAACGTTCACAAATTGTCATTTGGTACTTTGCAACATGGGCAACGTTTAAGGAAAACTTTGCAAACACCAGCTGCAACATTCGTTTTTAAATCAAATTGCCACATACATGTAGCCTTCCCATTCCTCAAAAGGGTGAATCAAAGCAATACCTTTTTTTTGCTGATAGAATGCATCAATGAACTTTTGCAGGTAGTGCTTTTCTATATTTTTTATTGTCTAATAATTTTGTCAATTAAAACCAAAAGGTTAACTCACTTGATGGGAAGCAAGGGTATCTATTTTTCTAGACATGAATATGCATGTAGGGCAAAAATCAACATCACGTACCACTTAGTTAATGGTAGTAGGGAGTAAGAGATTGTGTGTATATCAACCTCTCAAAACTCATTTCATTATGCAGGTTTCCTGTATTATGCTTTTAATGAAGTTTCTCTATTTCTAAATCAATTGTTCCATGTAGCTTTTCAATAATGTAAGTTTTCCGAGAATTTTTTTTTACAAGTAAATTATTTTTGGATTAAATTTTGTATTTGCACGGGATAGATAATTTAGATAGACAAAATTTAATAATGACCTTTAGATATTAATGAAGTTGAAGTGCCAGCTTCTTTTTTTCTTCTTTTGATGAGCTACAATTTTAATCTTAAGAGAATCAGGGCATAGGCTAGGGGTTTTTCTTGCAAGTGCTATTTTAGTATTTTACGGGTCATTAAGAATCTTGCTTAAGGTGGCTGCCTACTTTTGAACGTTCGAATTGAGCCCACGATGAGCGCGCGCTCAAAAACCGCTGAAAAATCTACAAGATTTTATTGAAGAACCATACACGTTTTGAGCTTCAACAGGACAAAACCCTCAAATTTTGCACGGGACTATATTTTTTAATAGCGCATTTGAAAAAACTCCTAAAAATCTAGGTTATATCAACATTTAAAAAAAAGTTTAAATCAGTAACACATGAAAAAATAGATTTTTGTAGGGATTTTTGTTCGACTTTATGAGATTTTTTAAGAGCACCGAAACTACAAAATATGACAAATCAATGTATCTCTTTGTCTTTTTGTTGAAAATATCCATGTATTATTGTAGAATGATTGACTAGCCTTCATTCGTGCAATCATATAGTCTGCAAATAACTATTATCTTATAAATCTTAATTTTTTTCTAATCACTTCCGGTGGCACAAGTTTTACTCCAAAAGCTCGTGCGTAGGCTCCCATTAAATGCTGATTATCTCAAAAACGAGCTTGGGACACCCTATTTTTCTTTCCAGATTTGGAATCAGCATTAAATTTCAATTCGGAAAATCAAAGTTTTAAAAAAAGTTTAAATCAATTTCCAAAAGTAGGCAGTCACCTTAAGAAAAGCTTGCTCTTACTTTCCCCCAAAATTAAAAAACACAGGGAGGGGAGGGGAGGGGAAGGGAGGTGGAAGGGAGGGGAGGGATGGGAGGGAAAAAAGGAAGGCATTTGGTAATGAAAGAGTTGTATAGCGCATATGCATGCATGCAAAAGGTATTAATTGTGGTACAATTTTCATTTAAAATAACTAATTTATTATTGTAGTCTGCATTCCTATTTAAGGGGAAAACAGGTTTTTTTAACTGGGGGACAGGAATAAGGTGTGCATAAAATTTTTGACCATTTGATTTTAAAACAAAGCCATTTGTAATGTAGACTTTGTCTCTAAATATTAATTTATATAAAAAGATTCTATGAATTTTCTATAAGTCAATGAGAGAGTATGTTGAGTCCAAAAATTGAAAAGAATTTAGTGGACTTTGAAATCTAGATGTTCATTTTCACCTTTCTTAACAGTTTGCTATAACATCCAACTATATTTTTATAAAAGTTTTTTATAAAAATTTTTTTTTTTTTTTTTTTTTTAATATTGCAAAAATATTTATAAATATGTTATAAATAAGTATATCTTTTGAAAATATCTTTTGAAAATGAAATTTTTAGTGTAAATGTTTCTATATTTAATTAATTAATATATTATATATGTGTATTATATTTTTATTAGAAAAAAGTATTTTTATGGGCATAATTTGATATAAATATTGCATATTGCTTAGCGATGACAAGTTTATAGTAAACTTAATGGTTATCTGTATCAGATGAAACTAGAAAATGGTTTACTTACACCAAAGGTCAATTTATGGTGTAATGATGTAAAGTTTACATCATTCAGTGTTTACGCATAGACGTTTCTATCCCTGATCATAGAAGGTCCATGATCAGGGAACAATGTCTATGTGTAAAGACAGAGAAAACAAGTAAAAAAATATTAATTTTAACGGTAGTTAAATGTTGTTTGTGAATTGTAACATCAGTGATCAAAGCAAGGTGTTAGCGTGGAGTGACAACCCCCATGAGAATACTTGTACTGTCAGTAACACATTATTTGTATTAGAAGATGAAAAGTGGTGTATGGTGGAAATGTTATTTATGTACTTATTGACTGGTGAGTGGGAGGGCTGGACATTAAAAGGGTTTGGTTTGAGTAACTCAGTCAATGAGTACATAAGGAGTACATAACATTTCCACCATATATTATTTAGCATTTTATCATATGACCCAATTTTTGTTGTAAACAAGGCTGAAAAGTCCTTAACAAATTGATAAATACAGCGCATGTAAACCAAGGAGGGCAGGACAGGTTTTTCTGACCCGTCAACATGTCTCCCCCATGACAGAACTTTTTCTGAGGTTTTGTTAGAGTGCACAAGCAGGCCCGTAACGGTCATATGATAAAATGCAATTATTCATAGCAGTCATATAAAATAAGATTTTTATTATTTCATATGGTTGCCATGAATAATTTCATTTCACATGATCATATTTTTGATTAGCCGTCTTAAAACTTTAGGGGGAGGGGAGGCCAAATGTATTACGGATGACACAATACTTTTTATTTGATTGTTATGACTTCGCTTTGTCTCACATTTGCAAAGTTATTGCTCCTAAAAATTAACAATTTTGAACAGCTTTTCTGTGTTTTTATAGTAATATAGTGAAAAGAAAGTGCTTATAAAAACAAAAAAGAAATGTAAGGAGATGTGCTATCCATCAGGCCAATGCTTCTTACACTTCTTCTTAAGAGCGTTTTTGGTACTTCCTTGCTGCACATTTAAAACACATACATGGATGGATAAAAACACATTTAAAACTGCTATTTCCTCTTGTTTTGAGCGCTCTGGACAAATGATATAATGTACTTAATAATATGTATTTATTTAAGTAGATATTTTGTGTATTTTAAAAAGGAATGTCAAACAATCTTTTATGCCATGCAGATATAACTATATCATGATCACGATCATGTTTTGTTGACCAGAAAACAATAGGTCCTATGTATGCTGAGGTTTTATTTGGCTTGTCGTATTCGGCTTGTCAGTTATTTTATGAAAATAGCATATCTGACAGAAGTAACCTCAAGTTTGAACCAGTTGTTTTATGGTCACTTCCCATGACTTTTACAAGTGTCAGCTTGTTTTTATTTTTCTTAATGACACACTTTAAAAATCTGATTTACAGCTCTAAGCATGAAGTACTTAGTCCCGGTGCGCAGCTTGAATTTGTCGTAACAATGTTTTAAACCTCCTGATAATAACACACCAGTTTGATACATTAATTAGTGAAACAGATTTGGGATATAATATGCCATGACTGTTTAAGGGGTGCATGTATTTATAATTTCATAGCTACAATTTAGCATTTATGAAATGAAAGAAGGATTATCCATTATGACATATTTGCCAACATGATGGGTATAGCATGCATTTATGGCTCCCATGCATATACACCAATTTCCAAAATCGTTGTCACACCAAGAGCCTCAAGTAACAAGCCAAGGCTCCAGAGAACGCCGGTACTTTTAATTATAATTATTGATTTATTCATGGTTCATGCAAGTGGCTATAGCTCTCCACTAATTATCATCTCAAGCATCTTTGCTTGGAGCAATTTGTGAAATCAATAATGAAGATGCACCATGAATAAACTCATTACAGCTAAAAGTACCAGCGTTCTCTGCGGTCTTGGTTTGTTGCTTGAGGCTTTTGGTGCAAAAATGATTTCTGAAATAGGTGTGTATTGCCATTGCCTTTAAATACTGCATCCCAAGAAAGGACACGTCAGCATCAGTCTTGCTTTTCTTTGCACTTTTTTGTCTTTGCATGCATGGCTGCACCTGAAACCTAGATGCCTGTCATAGCACATGCCATTGACAAGATTATCCTAGTTTTTGTTTGCAGCCTCTGGTCAGAATATTAAAATTTGATTGGCTCCTGAAAGACGTTTTAAGAGTCAGATCACAATAACGTTAAAAGCACTTGTTGGCCACAGTTGAAGAGTGTTATTAATAGCAACTCTCATTTCCATTAATGCATTATTAGCAAATTTTTGTTTTTCCTAAGTTTTGCACTAAGTAAAATTTTCAGAATGTTTCTACCTCCTGGCCCATTTGCTTTGCTCTACAAAATTTTTACTTACAGTTGTAGAGACTATTTTAACTTGGGCATGATATTTTCCCATTTCAGACCATGTGTCATTTCTTGGATAGAACAAGATTCTTTGTTTGAGTGAGTAATATGCAACTGTTAAACAAAGAAATGACTATAGGGAATGACACTTGGTCTGAAAATGGAAAACATTGCCCAAGCTAAAGGAGTATTGTGTAAAAATTGATAACAGCTGCAATTTCAGATTGAATTTTCAGTCATAGTATAAATTATCATGGTTTGTAGATTAAATTTCAATTATATCACATAATTGCAGTAACCAGGAGCTCTTCACACTATGCAACAAAAAGGCATGGTACGTTCATAGTTCATAACTTATACACATAATTTAGCCTCTACTCACTAATTGACTGTAGATAATTTTCTTTGTTATAAGCACAGTGCTGTAAATGTTGTGTGATGCCGTTGCATGTGTTTGTTGTGAGTGTCCATGTCTGAGTAAACTTACGGACAGTCCGTATTATAGTCTATAATATATAGTTTAATATAATTTTATAATAATGTAAATAGAAAAAATATTTATAATTTTATATTTTATAGCGTATGCACAGAATGTTGCAGTTTTGTGGTACACAAGATGGCATATCTGTAGTAGTATATTCCAGAATTACAACAAAATCAAACATTCATTTTTTTTGCACACATTTTATTATTTTGTAAAACCTTTTTTTTTTTTGCTTTAACTAGAGTGGATGCAATTAAACCGTGAAATAAATTAATCAAACTAAATACTAACCTAATAGTATCTATTTAGTGACTAATAGTCACTATTACTCAACCAGAATATTTATTAAACAAAAGACACAAATGGTCTCTTGTGTATTTGTCTTTGTATGATGAATGTTCTGGTTGAGTGATAGCAACTATTAGTCACTAAATAGATACTATTGTTAGTATTTAGTTTGTTTTATTTCACAGTTTAATTGCATCGACTCTATAATAATAACAATACTAAATAGTGCACTTTCATGTAAGAATTGCAGGACAATTCTAACAAGGAAACGATATCATCATTAATGCTATTATTTCTAACATGGAATCAATATCATCATTAATGCTATTATTTTTGATATAATAATAATACTAAATAGTGCACTTAGATGTAAGAATTGCAGGACAATATTTCTAACATGGATTTTACAATAACTTACAAATTTCTTGCGCTCTGATTGGTTATTTTTATCATCAATAAGAGGACAGACAGATAAAGCTGATGTCAACGAGCGTGCGCTTTTTCCATTGGTTGTTTTGATCACTAAAATTGAGAAGTTATTATCGTTTTTGTTATTGTAAAAAACAAATTGACATCATCATATTATTATAGATACTAGATAAATTCAAAAAATGCCTTGTATATACCATAAATCATTTCCCAAAAATGTTTGCACAGCCTCAAGATGTGATTTTGTTCRCAATATGCTCAGCATAACATATAAGCTACTAATAATATTACTTCATGGGTTTTATCTGCCATGCTTGTTGTGTATTAGGAATATAAAACGGCGCACATGTCTATATACTGTGATATAAACAGGATGGGAGCTGCAGAGCAAGAGAGAAGTCGTAGAGCTTTGACTTCTCGAGTGCTCTACAGCTCCCAGAGTGTTTATATCACAGTACATAGACACAAGCGGACGTTTTATATCACTTTTATAAAATACTTTTAAATGATTTTGTGCAAGCCTGTCTCTGATATAAACACTTTAGACAGTCAATCAGCGCACGCATTATATATCAAATATTTTATAAATTGTGCTGTTGCGTTTGTTGCGACCTCATGTCTACCACATGAAGTATTATAGTGGCCAAATACCTTTTCACAAAGAGTCACTTATAACTCATTCATTCATAGCACCACATCAAATCTATTATTTCAATGCTGTGCTGCTATTTCGTTATTTTGTATTTGCCATTCAGCATCATATATGTGCCCCGGTCATAATGCAAGACATTCATGCCATAATACTGAAGTAAAATAGGCCATTCATTATCATTTTTACTTTAAACTAAAATAAATATATGAAGAAGTCTCTACCAGTTTTAACTTTTATTCATCAGGAGAATAACTTTTCTGATTGTTTCGCAAGTGCAATCTGATAATTCATTATATTGTTTCACTCGTCTTCTATTAATCTCAAAGAAGCAGCTGAATTTTTCCCMAAAAAAAATAGCAGTCACTGTGATATTTGCAACAAAATTGCACCAAATTTATTTAATAAGTGGAAAAATAATTCTCATTTTTAGAGATAATGTTAAATTCTTATTTCATGGAATGCGTGAAATTGAATTGTTAGCTGCAACCCTCTTTGAAAATATACTCCAAGTGGCTGGGAACTGATTTTACAATTTGAGATTTGGCTTGTGATTGGAACTAAAGTTTAAAGGAAATTGATAATAACCTCATGGTACATAGCATTGTGGGGACAAAAAGTGAAAGGGCATTTTGATTCCCCATTCTTTCCCACAATCCTAAGCACCAAGAATTTGTTACCAATCTTCCTTTTGAGCTTAGTAAATTAAAGCTGAATAAAAATATCGAGTCCAATTTTGTTTTGGAACCCCCTAGATGATGAATAGACCTATCCCGAATTCACTTGACTGGTCACGAAACAATGGTTTCAAGTCGAGATTGAACTAACTTGATGAATAAAAGAATCAAGTTCAATTTCGACTTCAAAACATTGTTTYGTGGTCAGTCAAACGAATTCGGGATAGGTCTATTACCAAACTAAAGCAGCATTGAATTTTGTTGTTTAATGCTATGTGTAAATTAAATAACAAATGAAATTCTTCTACTTGGAGTTCCTACTTGAAAGAAAATGCTGGAATTATAATCTATTCAAAATTTAATAAATAACTCAATTATTACTATTTATAAAAAGGTAAAAAAAGAGATTATTAAATAAATAGACATGATGATAGATATTTAAGACAATTGTATTAAAAATCTTTGTTGTGAATGAATAAGTGTTAGAATCTTTACTGTTTGTATATTGATTTACTATGAATACACAATATTCTCAGGTACAGAATCCTACATCAATCGGAAACCAAGTTCATCAGCAGGTGCTAGTCCCACTAAAAAAGAAAAGTCAAAATTTCCCCATTAGTACCATTACAAAATCAAAAAGTTTGATATTTTATATCTTTCATTATTAGAGCATGCGCACTTCAGAAATAATATATTCTTTAATGAAATATTCTTGTCAGATGTTACTGTGAGTGTCTTCTTACTTTCTTGCTATAGGAGATGCTGCTAGCCTTGAAATTTGTACTCATCCAAGAATTTTGAAATCTTAGTTAATATTTTAATTCCCAGTGCTTCTAATGAAACATCTAAGGCCTCCCAAGCGAATTATACAGGTACTTTATCATATACAAACAAATGGAATTTCATGGGATGGCTAGCTAGAATATCAGAGTCCAATGAAACAGTGAAAATTGGAACTATTTTTCTTATCAAAGAAATATGTGTTAGTTGACCTACCTTTTTGTTTTCTGGCATTAACCATGTCTCCTTGAGTGAGTGGTGCTCCGCCACCAGGACGGCCCCAGATGTGATTCATAGTGTTCACATGCTGTAAAGGAAAAAGTTTCATCTTGTAAAAAATGTGCTCCATTTTACACATCAAGTCTTATTCACTTATTTCTGCTAAATATCTGTATTTTGAATTCTTTTATGCTACAGTTAAAAATGGAAAAAATCTGTTGATGGATTTCTGGCTAATAGGCCCCTTGCATGTGATAATGTCCAAGCAGCTCAATTTGGAGGACAAAACAAAAAACATTCCATACAATCGCCTGAGAATTGAAAACCTATTGTTATGTCCTTCAAATTGAGTTGCATTCCATTGTGCTGTAAGGGGTCTATAGACGATCTTTTTTGGAAAAAAGGTGGATGGAGATTAAATGTATAGTGGTTATGTACTGTTTAATAAATGAGCAGGAGTGTTTTATCTGGTATGAAACATGAGGCGTAGCCGAGTGGTTTTAGACCCGATAAAACACGATCTGCGAGTTTATTGAACGGCTTAAAAAACTCCTGATATATGTTCTCATATTGTACCAAATTCTTTACGAAATGAACCAAGTTTGATAGAGAAAATCCAAGTTGAAGTTTATGCAAATTAAGACGAATCTATATCAGATATAAAACCTCCTTCATGGTCATGATTTCTATTGTGTTTCCTTCATGAATTATTAATGAGTTTTTTAAAACTGGTTTAAAGGAGAATCATTATTTACTAACCTTCTGAGAAGTATTCTTATCAAATTCTTTTTCTCTGTCTCTCTGCTGTTGTCGTTCTCTTGCAAGTGCCTCCAAGTCACTATGATAGAGTTCACTAAGTTCATTCTTTTGACGTCGGATGTTTAATTTCTGTTGTGTTACATCAGATGTCTGCTTGTGTGCGGCTACTATCTCTTTGGTTACTGGATCAAACTTTGGTTGACCAACAACACCAGTTCTTAACCATGATGCTACATCTTCACCACTCTGGAAATAAAAGTGCACCAATGAGGACTAGTGAGTACCTACCAAATCATGGGGTTAAATCAAGTAATGCTTCAATCACTGTTGTCCTATGAAGTCATGCAGCCATGTTCAATATTATTCCAGGACTATAGCCCTCTCTCTCAAGCCCCTACCTTCACACATTCATTTATGGCCTACTTTTGAGCTTTCATTTTGAGACATCTCTTCTCTGTGTGAATTTCTAGGTCAGAAACTTCCTGTCCAAACTTCAAACTTTCTTGCCATGATAATTTAATTTATCTTTGGATGGTTCTTACCTTTCTGAGTTCAGCGTCTTCAGCCTTTCTTTGCATATGAGCCCGTTCTTGCATGTCCTCTGGAAGAGAAAAATATGGGGACAGTTGGACAGATGAGTGATACAAGACAGACCAAAACAAGAGACATTTATTTGATTTGATTCTAAAAAAGACTTACGAAGAGTCTTCAAGTACGACTGCTTGGCAATTAACTCATTTCTGGTGGTGTTTGGTGAATACTCCTGCAATGACATTGGAAAATCACATTCAAATACTGATAATAATATTGACTTAAACGTCTAGAATAGAGTTACCAGGTGCCCATATTACTTTTTTGTTAATTAGTGAGATGTTTCCAGCGAATAACATGGAACAGGTATTTTTTAGTTATTGTAAATAGCAGTTAAGGGTCATTCAAAACAGATTTTTCCATTTTCTGGTTAATTAATTCCCAAAAAAGGATAAGCTTGTCATGGTAGCATGCATGGCACTGTAAGAATATTATACTTGCCCTGGTTTCATGTTCCACTTTCCCCATGATGCTGGTTTTGACTCTTCCATCAGAGTCTCTTACTGGTGCCCCTGCTCCAGGCTTACCAAAGGGGTTGTATGAATCACGGCCACCTTTGGGGCTGAAGTCACGAGAAAAATTATCTGTGGAGAAACATATAATAATTAATCTACTGAACTTTTGCCACATAATGCTTCAATCTGTACTTTGAAATCCATCATTGAAATGAGCCAAGCAATAACAAGCCATTAGTTTGCTCAAATTCTTGGAACATAGGGTCAGTGTATTTGTGAGACCATGAGTGATCATTGACTGTCTATCATATTTATTTAGCTTCTGCCATAATGTTGAAGGGATGTTGCTACCAGTGGCAGTGCACCAAAAAATTGTTACTTCATCAGTCATTTAAAACACAATTCTTTCTTACCTCCAAATGTGGTTCTAGTCAGTGTTTGTGCCTTCCTAGTCCTGATATTTCCATCTTGATCTTTGTTGGGTGCACCAGCTCCTGGTCTTCCAAGTAGCATGCCAATTCCATCCTACAGAATTGAAATTAAACACAATCAATCTAATAATATGACTTTCTTCAGAAAATACACACTAAAGCTTGTATCTCCCAGCATTATTTTTGTTGCTAGTGTCAATGAGTTGTTTTTCTTACCATATCATTTGTATCAGGTTTGTTTGGTCTGATGACTCTACCATTCTTGTCTCTTAAGGCAGTACCATAGCCTTTACCCCACGGATCAAAACTTTCATTCTAAAAAAAGCCATAACTATTAATTATGAAATCTATCATCTCCACGTTGGGGGAGGAATGATGCTAGATCAGCTGTTATTAATGTAACAGCTGAGGCTGCAATRTGAGATATACTTTTGTTTTAAGAATCATACAAGTGAGGCTATCATGCCAATACAATGCTTGTCTCATTTGCATCTCATTTCCATCCATACGTAAAATCTGCTATTTACTATAGGGAATATTTGCTGCAATGACACTAAAGGTTATAGAAATTTTTTTTAAATATAACTTTAAAATACTAATTGCTCTTCCATAGACCAGGGTTAAGAATTCACCCCATACAAGTTTACAACACCCAACTTGCACGTTAAAGGATATGGAAAATTTGTTGTAAATAAGAGAACAATACACCAAACAATCAATTGTCACCAGAATATTCTCTCTAATAACCCAGTGTCTATATATTTAATATTGCTTATCTACTAACAGTCGTCACAAAGACTTTAAGAGGATATTATTATGTTTTCCATTATTACGAATAATTATAATTATAAAGTTACCACTTACATGTCGAAACCGTGAATCAGATTCTGAAACAGCAGAAAGATAAAAGAGAAGTTAGACCAGGAAGCAGTGTTAATACAACAGTTTATTTATTCATTTATGTATTCATGATCATTATTTTCTTTATTATTGGTGTGAAAACATTTTGACACTTCATTATAACAAAACAATCTGCTAAGTAGCTGTGATAGAATTAACAGATCTGAAGATTACTATTGACGGTACCTTTTTCTTTAATATCATTATATGCATGGGGATGACGAGACTCAACGTGTCTTAGTTCCTCAATATCTTTTGATAGAGTCGTGGGAAAGGAAGACTTCAGTTGACCTGGGAAGAGGAAAGATAGAAAATATGAAAATCACCATTGTTTTTATTATTGATACATGCTAATTGAGACAACAGTAGTGACATGGGAAATGGGCAATACACTACTGTCAATCAAATAAAACATATACTGAGTAGTCTCCCAATCATGTTATTCCATTCAAATGATGAGAATGTTTGATGATTCAGTGTCCAAGGAGACAGTTGGATTGAGACCAATCACAATGGAGTAGCACCATTTTGACCTCGTTTGTGATCAGGGATAAATATTTACCTTTATCATTTCTTATTGGAGCACCACCACCAGGCTTTCCGAAAGGATCTTGGCTTATCTAGTGAAAAAAAATAGAAGATTTACAGGGCCGTAACCAGAACTTTTACAGGGAGGGTGCACATCCAATAAAATCGGACCATTGATCGTTTCTTTTAAGAAAGCAGAACCAAAAAAAAAAAAGGTAACCAAAAGAAAGCAGAACCAAAAAAAAAAAGAGATGGATGAGCGGACCTTAAGCTTTTATGGGGGGTGCACGTGCACCCTGTGCTCCCCCCCTAGTTATGACCCTGATTTATCATCATCTAATGATAATGCTTTATTGGTACTGACTAATTACCACAGTCTGTTTTCATTGCTACACTGATTTAGAAAACAGTTCACAACAGGGAATTGGGCAATAAATTGCCATCAATCAAATATATTGTTCAGTACCAAGTTACTTACTCTGATTGACAGCAGTGTGTTGCCTGTTGCAACTGTTGTGTCAATCAATTCATAACAATGAAAGCAGCAGTAAATATTTTCCAGGATGCTCAGATTATCACTACTCACATGCTGCAGCTCTTTCTCAAAACTTTGTTGACGTTCAATTTCTTTCCTTGCTTTTACTTCATCCATAAAGTTGTCTAAATGAATTAATTAGTTAAATACATAAATTCATTGAACTGCCGTCTTGCATAAAACTGGCACCTTAACAACAACAATAGGTTCTGGGTGTGGATTAATGGGGTTGCAACTCCCCACAAAAGTTTGGTTTAATTTAAAAATTTAGATGTTCATGACAGCTGCTTTTTCCAAAACTTCTAAATCACCTGGGAGCTTCACATTGTGCACCGTGTATTCTGCCATTAGCTACTGTAGCTCAATGCAATAACTCACCAAGATCCCTGCGATACCCAGAATCTTTTTTGTACCTCTGTAAAACAATATGAACATGTCATTAAAACGATGACACTTCAAGCCTTATTAACTTAGAAATCAGACTGATTATAGATCTAGCTCACCAAGTTAGGGTCTATATCACCACTCTGGCTATAAACTGGAAATCTTAGTTCTGGATCTCCTCGCATTGAAGTTATAGGTTTTCCGGATTCTGTTCTCTTGGGTGCACCACCACCTCCTCTTTGCATAGTACCAAAAGGAGCAGACTCCTTGAGATCAAAATAATAAGAGAATTTAATATTAATTTTATACAAAAATTACAAGCCAGCTAGTGTGCATATGTTTTTTAAAGAGTTATAATAATCTTGCTTGAATATAATGATAGGTACTCATTCGATGAGTGGGAAAATAGTTGGCTTGAGTTTATGCATTTATGCTTATGTTTACGGACCAAGAGCCAAATATATCTTCCCAACCTAACAAGTTTTTCCAGCCCGCTAACGTAAAATTGTCAGACCCCATCAAGTGACTATTTTTTAAAGGTTGTATATAATGCACAAGCAGGGCCTGATGGGTTATATTATGGTAATAGTCTATTTATCTATACCTGTCATACATGTATGTAGTATTTGGGCAATTTGATAACATTTTCAAAAGGTTTGATCATAATTACCTCATCTTGCAGTGTTCTGATAGACTTGGTACGTCTTGTTTCCCACTTATCAGTATTAGACTAAATTTTTAAAAAATAGTTTAATGCAATTTTATAGTATTATCTACAAACATACGTCAAGCACAGAAAAATTTGGGAGCACTATTCTAGCATTATTACTTACCAAGGGAGCCCCACCTCCAGGTCGACCCCATGGCTCAAATGATCGTAACATTTCAAGATCCTAGAAAGAAAGAAATGAAAACATCAAATTTCTTAGAAAGAAATGAGAATTAAATGGCATATCCTACCCTTTTCTTTTCAGTTTGTATTTCTTCCCATTGTTTCCTTTTTTCTTTCCTATGTTTTTCAAGGAATTCATCTAGAAAAACAAGTACAATAATAATGATATCAGTTTCTTTGCAAACTCTTGAGAATAATTGTATTATATTGCAAGGTTTAAATGCTCAGCTTATAATTCATTCTTCAATATTAATCTGCAGCTATCATATTTATTCATATATGATATAGTATTTTTATGTATGCTTAATTAATTACCTTGATCAAATGCTAGTTGCTTGTTTTTATAGGCTTGGTCTTCAAAACTAAACAATTAAAGCAACAATAATAGAGTCAGAGAGATATTTACGTGCATGTTTTACATGCATATTCATTCATTTTTCAGTGTTTAAGGGTGTTGTCCTAAGATGTCTGCCACTTTGGAAAATGCATGTAACCTCCTACAAGAGTGTGTCCTAAGGCACCTGTCCCAGATTCCCCTCCCCCTCCCCTCCCTCTTCGCAGGTTATTTGTGATGTTTATCTGAATTGGGGAATGGGAGGGAAAGATTTATTTTCTTTGTGTGAGAAAAGGAGTACTCGTGTCACCAATTTATTACACCTAATTAGGTGCCTGTGCGACTTACGTTTTTGCCTCCAGTAAGAGAGCATTGTTTGGTTTCCTGGACGGCTTTGGTTTGCCAACATTAGTGGCAGCTTCTGTGCCATACATAAATCCAATAGGATTTTCTTTGCTTTTTACTTTCTGTCTTTCTTGAGACTGTCTCAAGAGCTCATCTGTTCCATAGATCATTCTGTTTTCCATTGAACCTCCGGGGGTCTATGTGATGAAATGATTTTCAAGATCAATGCAAAAGCAAYCTCATTTTTTTTATTGAGAGTATTCTGAAAATGTACTCCATATGTAGAAACCTTTCTTAACAGCTCATAGGGTGTTGAATGGAAGTCGGTGTTTATTTAGGATTTTCTGTCGGGGGGGCACTCGTCTAATCTCAATTCTAAAGTAAGCATCATCCCCCTTTCTGATACCTCCCCCCCTCCCCCAACTACAAACCTGCCAGTAGAAAGGAGGTCACTGAAGCATTTTGGGACTCCTCCTGGATCTCTCATCACAGCCCCACCTCACATTCCTGATTAAGCAATGAGCAGGCCCTTATGCTAAGTCTTATACTTACAACTCCTTTAATGAAATGTTGCCTCCTACGATGATTTTCATTTCCTAATGACCCGATTGGTGCATTATTTGTTGGTACCACCTTTGTTTCATAACCTCTGTCATGCAAGTTTTGAAGATGATATGCTCTTGAGTAGCTTGAGGACTCAGATTCCCTCTTTAGCTGGCTCAAGGGATCTGTCTTTTGGGGATCTTTAGGCAGTGCTGAGATCAAATAAATAATATTTTACAATATTTATTTTATTTAAATGCTGGAAGCCAGGGTGGATCCAGGAATCACAAAAAAGGGGCAGAAAGCTTTGGTGTTAGAGAAACCTCTATGACTTACCAAAAACGGAGGATGGCCCCTAAATGGGCCACTCCTACATCTGCCGATGAAGCAGATTTAGGCGAGTCTAGGTGAGAATTTTAAACTTAACTATACTGCAACATTTTAAGAGAATAAATCACTTACTCTCACTACACTACATGTAACACAATGAAATAAAATATCCAAAACCTTTGCTTATATTAGTTTTGCATGGCTTGATTTAGATTAGATCAGCATGTTATAATGCTTCATAAAATACATCATACAAGTACATCATTTGACATGTGTAGTTCCAGAAATTATCCATACCATCCTCCTCACAGGAGGAATTTTTCTTAAAAAAACCCTACCCCAAGAAATTCTAATTTTCTTTCTCTGATGCTCCCTCCCTCCTGAAAATTTTATATCCCTTTGCGTGTGTGTGGGAAGGATGGGGGATTGGGGTATGGATAATTTCTGGAACTATACCTGAATCAAAACAAATGCTGATAACTAAAGCTAAAGTTAAAGTCTACAATCTACTTATTGCCCAACTGGGAGAAGAATAATTGGAGTTTTATTACCTTAGGTGATAGTCTCCTACGCAGCCGTTATGGAGTGAGTGTTGCGTGATGACACTAATAGCAGCTGTGTAGGAGCCTATTTAGGTGAGTGATTTTAGAGTTTTTAATGATGCATGCATGCATGCCTGGTATATCGTGACATATATACATATATGTAAGGTGTAATACTACTAAACAGTGCTTTGGTGTCAGACTGATGTTGCAATTTTACTAGACGGCATAGATACAAGGTGAAATACTATCACAAAGTGCTTTCATGACTGCATGATCATGTGCTCAATGTTCCAACAACCCTCCCCTAATACAAAATATGTGCTACATGACTCAAGTATGTTCAAACCCATGCCAACTCTTACCCTTGCCGTCACTGCCGTAGAGCAAACCGCTCCCCTGGGTACCCCCTGGTATATGACCTTTTACAAACCACTGAGATTTGCCATGGTGATATGTAGTTCCACTGACTGCTGCCATAGACTCCTTCATATTTTTACCAATAATCTAGATGCGTGCACCTACAAGTTTTTATTCTTTAGTTCATAATAAAAAGTAAACAGAATTTTTTTTCTTAGTAAAGACGAAAAATTTATTTTCAGTTTCCAAAGAAGGGAATAGTTTTTTTCAAACAAAGGTTATATTTTTGGCTATTCGTGTTTCTTCATGAATGTTTCATAGCTCGAAACAATAGAAATAACTTTGTATCATTTTTTTGTGTGGTTCTGCGGTCAAAAAGAAAATTGGAAGCCCTTGCAGTGTCACGGCACGCTAGCGTGCCAAGGTTTGATATTTCTCACTTCCGTAAATCCTGAAAAATGTTTTTAAATCAATCACGCAAAAAGCAAAGAACTGAGCCTATGAGACATAAAAATTGCTCTTTTCTGTAAGCTTTCTTTCCGACCCTTTCTTTCGACCTTTTCTAAACTTCACTCATCGTTATTTTAACACATTTTTTACGAGATTGTTCCAACCTTTGACACCTCGACTTTCAAATATCAAACCTCTTTTGATTTGTTTGGAATTTTCAAAACCACTGTTTAACAATAGTTTATTTGCTGCTGTCATCAAAGAATATCGTAATGTCGAGATTCAAGATTTAGTCAATTTATGTAATTGACTTGTCTACAAAGAGAGAAATACTCTGTTACCATAACATGTAAAATGTTGAAAGAGGATATGCGCGAGTAATGTATCTTACTTCATATATAAACCTCAATTATTTTGAGACTATAAATGTCACAGTCCAAGAGTTGTCTTCTCTGAGACACGACAGATAAGTTTCCCAGCCGAGAGAAACGTTTAATTCAATCTGGATGCGTATCGTTAAACTGTTTAGTTAAGAGATTTAACTTTTGTCAATCTTTTCGCGTTCGTCCACGTGAATTTAAGAAAAGATTAATCAGTAACACTATACATATTTATAAATTGACTTACAGTTTGCCTTCCAGCCATTAAACCAATCTGGTTCTTCTATTTTCAGCATTTATGTGTTATTGAACTCCAATGCTGCTTATGTTTAGTCAAAGTAAAGAAATGCGTAGTCTTTTCCTCCCCACGGGCAAACCGTACAAAGTTTATATTCGTGTCTATAGCAACCGCTGTTGAAGCGTTCCCCAGGGATAATAGGCGTCTATCCTTAGTTTGCTCAAGATGAAAGGTTCTATTCGCTCGTAGATTATGGGATTATATTTTGTTTAAAATAAAGATATGGTTCAAGTTCTTTTACAAATATTGATACAGAAAAAAGATCGTTAGGAATATTTGAGCGAGTGCCGTGTGTTTTCGCTTTAATAGTCTCCCGTAGCAAGAAAGTAGGGAATATGTGTCAGCTCTCAAGCCTAGTTTAATAGCCTCCTTTGCAGAGCGGATGCTAGCCTAAAATAAATCTTCATTTAAAGTTTTCAGTCGTAAAAATAATGCTTAGAACATTGCTAGATAGTAAAGAATGAAAACAGGTCGTTTTGTTAAGAAAATAAAGAAAATATATATATAATTAAATCAGTCTGATGAAAAAAACTCAGGCAAGGCTCCCGACGACTTCTGTTCATAAATTCCTCGCGAAGATTTTGTCAATATTATAAAATTCGTTCTATTTTGATTTGTGTGATGGTATCCCATAGCTCAAAGGTAATGTCAACAATAGTATTATATTTCAACAAACACTGGTTTAATTGTGAAAAAATAATGTGATGAACTAGGCAGGGGAGTAAGCTTTTCAAAATGCTCCTTGAAATTAATTTGCGAAAACATAACTATCTTAGAAAATACTAAGAGAATACAAGAGAATAAATCGCGCTTGCACCTGCCTAAAAAGTTCGTCCAGTGATTGGAATGGAATTTAGAAGTTGATTTTTTGAGGGAGAAAATTAGAACTTCCGCGAAGGTCGGCTGTACAAGAAGCACCTTCAGAATATGTTGTTCTGATCTAGTTTTGGCTTATGAGAAAAGAATCTTGTTTTTCACACCCAAAAATGAGCTTCAATTCACGTTTTTTATTGGGGGTGGGGAGTCTGAGGGATTTGCAGGTATAGCCCTCCCCCTTTCGCTCAATGAAAAAAATCGTTACCCTTTATTCATATGCCAACGAGCAAGAAACCACTTTTGTCGAAATAAAAAGGTTTGATCGACCCTCCACGAAAGTTCAAAATTTCACTGATGACTCTCCCCTCTCAAGTCCATCCCACCCCTCAATACAAAATTAAGCGTAAGCTGAGTATATCAAGAGAAATGACTTTCTTCCTCTCCTTCCCCTCTCCCCAGGCCCTCTAACCCCTCCCCAGGCACCCCTTAGGCCTCCAGATACTCAGGCTATAAAAAAACATAACTTCCCTGATTTTAAAGTTTTATGCTGCTGAACGCGGTCCAAGCAAGGTTCATGATGAATTTTCAAGTCTATTTGTAGGTCCAAAGATCCAGAAACAGCAAAAATAGTGAATATATTTTTAACTAACTAATTCTAGTTCGATCTGTGCGTTAGCCTTGCCCTGACAGTTAGTCAGCCTATAAAGTTTGTTTGAGGATATCCATCAAACTTAACGATGTCATCCAAATGTGCACCTTAGGGAGTCTTGGACATGTCTCAATATTTAAACTTAACCAAGGATCGATACAATGATGAAAATCAAACCATTATTGAATGATGCATCTATTTTTCTGAAATTTTACTTACTTCGATCAGAGGATTTATTAAACAGTGCTTTGAAATGACGACGAGGTACTGGTCCCCATGCCTCGTAGACTGACAGCGGTCGTAATAAGTTCCTTCTTGACTTGACAATAGGTGTAGTGAGATGGGATTCCTGCATTAACAAATCCAACAAAATGACTTTAATGTCGAAGGGTCTGGCTCTATAGAAAACACTGACTGCGCGTTCGGCACTGATCTAGAGATGCATTGGTGACGCGTGGTGTCACTGCTCCGCGCGCACCATAATTCCCGCGCAAACCGAATGCGTACTATACAGCATGTACATGTTACATCATCACCATCATCTTGGTTGACGATAACAAAGCATTCCTCATTAGCTTTTCTCGTTAGATCAACCAACATAAGGGTTGTTTCATTGATATTTATCTCTAGAGGGATTTCGAGTCATATGGTTGCACACACCGTAAGACCGTTTGGTAAGTAAAAAAAATGGTCCGCAGTCGCTAAATCGCACTGTTTTTCTATTTCTAACTACTCAGACAGCTACGTTAAAAATCTACTGCAATTATATGCGAACAACAAATTTTTGATAATACGAACTTGCAAATGCTGCGCACAGCTGTCATCACGGTAACGGTAGCCCCATTTCTAACTGCTTAGACAGCTACGGTAGCCCTACAATTTACAATTACAATTTTCACATTTTACGAGCAATTTACAATTTTCACATTTTACAAGTAACGTAGCAGTATTGCATTCGCGACATGAGTGCACGATCTCGTTGCATATCTCCTTGCCAGTGTATCATGCACTATGACAGCACTTTCAAAACTCTGTAACGGTACAGAACAAGACAGTGCCCGATTTAACAACTCGCGTACGAGCCAAGGTCACGGTACGGTTACTCTTTAACTCCGTAGGGGGAWGGGTGGGAAGCGCGGCTGTACGTCACAGGCTATAATGATGAGAATTTTTGATCACAATAGTCGGACAGCTAAGGTACTATCCTAATTTCTTATTTCAGCGAAGGATCAGAAAGATGATTGAATATCTCAGCAGTTTTAAGACCAAACCCCCTTCACGGACTGTAAGAAACATAATGTGACGTACGACCGTAAAACCGTTTTCCCTTCAACAGGCAAATGTAATCCTCAGTAGGCTTATAATGGAGTAAGAGTGCACCTCGAGTGGCTGTTAAGATATGTAAATGATTGGCATCCCTTGGACCGGACGATAGCCTTCGAGAAGAGATGATACTGAGGCCGATGCCATGAATCTTGAATTGAAAGTAAATGAATTCGGAGCAGCTTCTTCCGTTAGGTTTTTCTTCCTAGTTCACGTTTTTCCTTTCAAAGTCTTTTCTTCCTTGCAACATTGATGTACGATCGAGACGAAAACTAGCGTATTGTAATGCTGATATAGCTGCGCGTGAGACGAAAAATGCCAAACTTATATCGTGCCACATAACATTCTAATACCGGATGTTCAAGATATAAGCCAGTATAGTAAAGAAAAATAAAAGCAAATGTTGTGAAAATCCATTATAGTGTAAGTATACATGCATGCCATAGTTACGCTTTGGAGAATTGAAAAAATCATGTTTCAAAAGAATCGAGAAAATCACTGCTGAATAAAGTATCAATGATAATAAGGCTTACCTTGCAACTGAACTTCCTTTCAGATCGTGTTTCCCAGATGTTATTCACAAAACGATATCCTACAACAGGAACTGGATACCTCGAACGAGTGACCATTTTCGTCCAACTAAGCTAGACTTTACTAACAGCAAATTCGCTTCGAAATAACTACATTTCTATGATTGTAGCCTCTCAGCAATTGTAAACTTAAGTTTCCAAAGAAACTTTACAGAAAATTCACAAATATGGTGACATCGTTGAAGTTTGGAATTCCGTAATTGACGTTCGAGAAGCCATTCTAATGTCCAATAAGGGTTGGATTTGCTCTACGTCATTTCTTCTGCAAAATGAACCTATTTCCCTTTATGACGTCATTAATTAATGTTAGGAAAAATATTGAAGAAATGGAAAAATGAAATAGCAGTTGAGAATTTTCTGTTCAATGCTACAAGTCATGCTACAAAGATATACGATTTCTAAAGCTTATAGTATGCTGGGCAGTTATGTTGCATGCAACTTCCTGCGCGCAATAAATTTGGATAGGGGGTGCAACAGAATCATGCATCCTCGTTCAATATGGCGTCTTCGTTCGACAACCACGCATG